AGTTCATATACTCACGTATCAACAGAGGATGTATACGATGAGGATACTGCTATTCGTGACATAATGGCGAGAGAGGTGTGTTACTCGTAGTGGTGCGCTTCCTTTACTGACCTAGTATCCGGCGTTGTCAGTCGGAGAGGTTACAAGAGAACGCCGCCAAGTTGGCGAGTGGACAGGATCTCGGCGATGGTGACGAGGAACTCGATGACGAAGAAATCGAAGAAGAGTTGGGCTATATCAGTCCTCTCGATACAGTTGATCCTTATCTCGCATTCAAGCGCTCTCTTTCCAGTAAGCATCCCCATTCTTGTATCCCGACCTCTTAGCTCCTAAGGGGGTCACGTGAAGCGGCGTTTGAATTGGTCTCTGACTATTATGCAGTTTTCCAAATGAAGAATGCGCCTGGATACCAGTTCTGTACCACCTCCCTTTCAAAGGACCAACAGGTCCTCTTGACTGAGGTCATGACCCTCGCCGAACAAAAGGAAGCAGAGGTCGGGCCAGTGCAGGTTTAGACTCATTATTGAAGAGATTGGAAGAAGGATTTCTTGATTTCAATGAGAAGATCAAAGGATCTTTTGATATGGGGACCTTGACCTTTGACTAGACATCGTAATATGCCTCAATGTGATTTTTTTACTCGATTCCATCTACATAGCCCGTTGAGAGTATACGTACGACTGTCCGCAATACTTGCCTGCCGCCACCCTCCCACTAGTGATTACAACTCGAAAAAATACATCCCGTGAAAAGGTCAAAAATGCTGACACGCTGTCACTCGCAACATAAATAGGCATCATGATGCCTTGCCCGAATCAACGGACTCGAGGTGATAGCTCGCCGCAAGTTGGACCGCTCCACCGTCGTGCCTAGCTTACAATTGTAGGGATAAAAGACATTGGCGCCCAAAGGAAACCTTATCGAGACTATCTACTATATCGAGTTGACAATCCGCTATGCAAAATGCATCTCCCCTGGTCAGCACGCTCGACATTTGCATACGCTAGCGTCGGGAATGTTGACCCGCCGCCCAGGGTCCACACCGGAAAGTGGCACAACCCGCCAAGTTTGCACCAGTAGTCTCCCTCTATCTAAAAGCTGGCAAAAAGCTGGCACTAATACACCCAAGGCTTTGAAATATCAATATCAGAATGATAACGACCCCCTCCACCCACTATCATGGGGTTTTACGGCGCCTGGTCAGTCGCATGTTCGCAGCCCAAGAGTCGCATGGATCCAAAGCGAAAATTTCTTCCTTTTGGTGAGCAAGGTCTCAAAGCATACAAGAAGTTTTGTTGACACCCTCGGATACTCCTTTCAAGCTTTGCCTAATTGTGCTGAGGCTGCGCGATTATTGATTATACCGAAATTCCTTCAAACTTGGTCACACCCAGCACGGGGGTGTACCTCAGTGGCTATTCTGCCGGCCGGAAAATGGCATTGTCCGCTTCGACAGCAAGAGGCCACCGATTAGAAGCCACACCTCCCTATTCTATTATTCAAATTAGACAATGAGTACTATAGTATCAGCTATAGCTCTAGACCATCGATTTCATGACAAGGAGACAGCCGTGACTAGACGTTTCAATACCCCAAGTCTCCCTTATTTAAGGAGAACCTTTGGTGGGATAATGGTCTAGAGGTGTCACCCCATTCCTCCTAAACACCCT